GGGCTATATCATACCGTTCACGGTAATACCGGTGTAATGTTGGGCAACGATAGGAAAATGAAATATCGCGATAGAATATGGGTAAAACGCGCATGCGCAGTGCCTATGTTTACATAAGCACATGGCGGCGACGCAGAATGAGAAGAGCGAAAGTGGATCGTCGAATGAAACGGATGAACCAGAATTGGTTTGTAAAAATGCTGCAACTTCAGTGGTGTGGAACTGGTTTAGCTTTCATCCGTCAGATACACAACAAAGCACTATTTCTGGTAGAGCATGCTAGCGGGCCGTCGTTATTACCGTGTTTTTTGGAAAATATGGCACACTTAAAATCAATCCTTTGATTTTTCTGAAAATCGACAGATTATAATCCCGTGTGCCTTATGTATGAATTCTGGTTGTGTTTACTGACCTCGAAACGATTTTATGTCGTACACGGCGCTCAAAAATCTGTCAAATGTTTTAGTACGACTTTGCTAAGCTACAAACCCGCACCACTTGATGGATTGTCGGAGCATTACGGTTATCGTAGGCAGGCGCCTCGCGGAGTGATACGTACTGTGCTTCAACATAATATTATGGTATTGTGTGTGTATAACCTCTTTTTAAGTTTTGTGTATATTATACATGGTTATGCTGAGGATGTGTCGGCCAATTTCCACTGGAAATGCCTTTTGGTTAAACTGTCAGCAAGGAATTTGCATTTGCACTGTTAATTTTTTATATAACTTTAATGCACATATAAAACAGCTGCTTGTTTAAGTGAAAATACATTGATGGGTTTTTTTGCACAAATAAAGTTGTGGAGTTGCAAAGTATTTTGTCTAGTGTCAATTATATCGTTATCGCAAATTTTTAAATGTATATCGTGATAAATATTTTTGGTCATATCGCCCTGCTCTAGTATGTTATAATGTACACGGTATGAAGTATGTTATGAATATGCTATAACTATAAGTATGTACAGGCTATGAACAGGATATAAATATAAAAAACTATACAGAAATATGAGATATGCAAGTTATAAACAGTTGTTGAATTAAAATTTATTGTATTGTACAGAATGATTATTTACACAGAATTATAAAGTAGTGCAGTTAAGATAAGTGAGATATGTGGATAATTTCTACAGAGGCTATATAAAGTGTTAGTGGTTGTGAGTGGTGGTTCAGTCCATGTTATTATTGTGTGTATGAGGGTACAGTTGTCCATTGTGTGTGTGTGTAGGTGGTTGTGGGTGTGTGTAGGTGGTTGTGGGTGTGTGTATGTCCAGTCCATGTGTTTAATGTGAGTCAGATGTCAGGAGGCAGAGTTCAGGAGTCTGACAGCTGTGGGGAAGAAGCTGTTCCGGTACCTGGTGGTCTTAGTCCGGAGGCTCCTGTAGCGCCTCCCAGAGGGCAGGAGGGTGAAGAGTCCATGTGATGGGTGACTGGGGTCTTTGATGATTTTCCCAGCCCTTTTCAGACACCGCTTCCTGTAGATGCGTCTGGGCAGTTTTCACAACCCTCTGCAACGCCTTCCGGTCCGAGGCAGAGCAGTTCCCGTACCAGACTGTTATACAGTTGGTCAGGATGCTCTCGATGGTGCAGCGATAGAAGTTCACCAGGATGTCTGAGGACAGGTGGTTCTTCCTCAGAGTCCTCAAGAAGAAGAGGCGCTGGTGAGCCTTCTTGACCAGCTTGGAGCAGTTGGTCGTCCAGATGAGATCCTCGGAGATGTGGACTCCCAGGAACTTGAAGCTGCTCACACGCTCCACAGCCGTCCCCTTAATGTGGATGGGTGGATGTGGGTCAGCATTCCTCCTGTAGTCCACGATGAGCTCCTTGGTCTTCTCGGTGTTAAGCAGCAGGTTGTTTCTGTCGCACCACTCAGCCAGACGATCCACCTCCTCCCTGTACCTCATCGTTGTCTTGATGAGGCCAATCACCGTGGTGTTGTTGTTGTTGTCCAGGTGTGAGAGGACAGAGTGCAGTGCGATGGAGACTGCATCCTCTGTGCTCCTGTTCTGGCGGTATGCGAATCGGTGGGGGTCCAGAGTGTGTGTGTGTGTGTGTGGGGGGGGGGCAGGATTTGAAGTGTTATGTACCTAAAGGCTAAAAGACCCCTGTATTTATAACAAATTTTTGGCTTTTCAAACTAGAAAATAAAAAATTCAGATGAACCATTAAACAGGTGCTAAACCATATCAGAGCAAACCAGAGCCATCTCCAGTCGGCTTCTTCCATACCTCATAAAACATCCTCGGACTTTGACTTTGAAATAAAAGAATTTTATCCACTCAGTAAAGTTATGTACTGTGTGAATTTTACCTGCTATTTAGGTCAAAAGAGAAAAAATAGTTGCACATTCACATAAAAAAATGAGGCAGGAAGAACTGAGTGAACAACAGCTCAAACACCACAGGACTCCAATTTATCGCACGCTGAAAGCTTTAAATTTTGAGCACAACTGTTTCACAAGAGAATAACACACTGCTCTGTGCATTATTGTCTGAAACCGAGAACTTTTCCACAGTGAAAATTTCTAATGCTGATGATTATTCAATTAATCAACAGAAACTGGAAACAGTTTTTACGATCCTTTCTTTTAGTGAGTTTTTAAAATCAGAAATCCAGGTTTGAGCTTTATAAATGTGAGGATTTTATGTATTTTTTGTACCACATAACTAGGTACATAACCCGTCTTTAGATGTTTTCCCACTTGTTTATAGTCATCAAAATAATAGATTATCTTGAAAATAATTTTAACAAATCAAACCAAAATTGGATGAATCTCTCAACTGCTGGGTGTTTTTCATGTAAATTGTTCATCCTTCAGTGGCCTGTAATGTGTCACATGTCTTTAGGGCATCATCGGAAAAGTTTGTTTGCAAAACTTCCACAGTAGAGGTCATAACTCTCATGCTTCGTAATAAATCCTTGAGGTCACTGATGAAAATATTATTTTGTGTTTCCCTGCCTTCATTTTTCATTATGTTTTCACAGCTGTAAGAACGGCATTTGCATGCATGGTTGAATTTCATGTTATAAAAAGGAGAATTCACCTTGGTTTCTTTCAAACTGTCCCAAATAATTAATTGGCACTTATGACAGTTGAAGCTCTGAGTCCATTTACTGCCGTTTCTTTAGCAGTGCTCATTTTACTTGTAGCAGAAGCCTCCAACTACTCCTACGGGTTATCGAGTTTGTTACTCTTCTCTGATATTTACTGAGATTAATTCAGGCGTTTTTCCTGGATAAGTAATGACTTACAGGTGTGGGCTTTATGCCACAAAGGTAGAGACACTGTGTACCAGCGACTGAAGACAGACTCCTGCCATTCAGGAATGATTAACTGCTGGATTTGATTCATCAGATGTGGTAAGAGTAAACCAACGTGTCCTTGGGCTGCACTGTGGTGCGTTACTGTGCACTCGCACTGCATTTATTGATCTTTCAGGTGTTTCTGTCCACAGGGCATCATAAATCACAATTTCGTTTTCCTGTCACCATTTTTGGTAGATACTGCAGGTGTTTTGAAGAAGCAAGTGAAATTGTAGCGTCTACTGATCGTTAGAGCTGACATTTTTATATTTTTTCATCGTTCTGATGGTCACTGTGGTGGCTATATTAATTTCTTAAAGTTCTTTCTTTCTCTTATATGTAATATAACCACACTACGGACGGACAAGCGCCTGTTTTTATGCGTTGTCGTTAGTAACAGCGACGGTAACACCTTCGTGTGTGGCTTGTTTACGTTCCACATACACCTTTCACAATAAAGCTCAAGATCCTGTTGAGACTTTTCAAAATAAACTGAATCACGTGAAAGAGCAGATTATTTACGGATGAGAAGTAAAAAAGAGCCGCCAGGTGCTAAAAAATAAACCTTAGACTCAAACGTTAGAACAGGCTTTCCCCGCAGCACGCCGTGTAATAAATACAAAGAAAACGGCGGCCTTTACAACTTATGTCTAAAAATGTATAGTTTCATGCATCGGTTAAAACACTCGACTCCGGGTAAAGGACGCGCAGCTGGAAACACTTCACGCAAGTCGAGCTGCCCGAGATTCACAGAATTTACAGAAAATGTTACATTTTTGTGATTTATATCGTTATCGGGACGATAGAATTCTTATATCGGGATATGAGATTTTGGTCATATCGCACAGCCCTATAAACCACTACACTGTGCAAAAGTAAGCTTCCGCTGAAGAGTGTGTGGGCTCACTCCTAGAGATGGGGCGAGGGGCTCAGACAGTTAGAAGGGTTCAATTTTGCACCAGTTCCAGTGATTCAGGAATTTTACTAGAATTCCTCCTATGTGCGTGCCACGTATAAGCCTAGTATGTGCAGTGTTTTGGAGAAATCTATACACCCTGTAGCTTCTCTTTCTCTCTTTGTGGAGTGGGAGTGGTAGGCTTAGCTGGGACTACTGCGCCCACACTTTTCGTTCTTTTTGATTCTTTTTTCCTTTTTTCTGTAAACTGATTGTACTCAGATATTATCAGGGGAGCTAAGTATGAAGTTTTACCAAAGTTTAAAAGAAGAGATTGTAAATGAAATATATTTATTTCATCTACAATCGCAGGTCAAGCCAGTATATCAACCTGTCCCTTCTTCTTTCTTGTCCAGGTGGAAAGTTCTGCTGCTTTTACTGATGAAAAACCCATGGCAGGACTGAGAAGGAATAGTGAACATCCCTCCTACCCTGTCTTACACTCCTCTCCTGTAAACCTCCATCTTCTGGACTGTTTCACGAGGATATTCAGTTATGCCGAGCAGAAAGCAAAGTAAAATCCATTTCTCAGCTTTGACCATGTGAGCTCTGAGGTAGCTCTCTTAGCTCTGTTGTTTTTTGGCGACTCTTTCCAGTTGCCGGTAATGTAGTAATTCAAGTGATATTAGAAGCGTTTGGTGTCATGATGGCCGCTGCCTCCTCGCCTGAGAAGCTGCTGCAGCTCGAGGAGATCGACTCCAGCCGAGCTGGTAGCTGCATTCTCTCCCCGATCCTCGGCTCCTCTTCTCCTGGTCTGTCCCATGAAACAAGCCAGCCCATCTGTATCCGCTCACCATATACCGACCTCGGCCATGACTTCGCCACCATACCTTTTTACAGTCCAACTATCTTCAGCTATGGTGGTCCGAGCATTTCTGAATGCTCCTCTGTCCATCAGTCTCTGAGCGCCTCTTTATTTTACAGCCGTGTGGGGACGCCCATTACGCTGCACTGCCCGCAGGGTCGATCCCAGCAAGGCCAGTCAGCCCAGACTCCGTGGGACAGTGTTATAACAACCAGGTAGGACTGGGCGCAACACCTTGACTACGCTGTGCTCTTTAATCAGTAGTTGGCCAGCTAATGATTATTCAATTAGTACTTAACCTGTTATTTATTGAACAGCTGTTTTTAGTAACCTTTTTCTCCAGTTTTTTCTTTTTCAACTAAAGTTACAGCAAGCTAAAAATAGTCATCTGTAATCACATTACTGATTCAGTGATTTATTACTGTGTATTACTTTTAATCAACTGTTTTGCATACTTAATCTACATGTTTTTGTCTTGGGAAGAAATCATGACTCAAAACTGTCTGTTAGCAAGAGTGTGAGGAGGCGCTCCCAGGAGAGCGAGGAGAGCATGGCGTCTTCAGGTGGGAAGGCAGACCTCCACTACTGTGCTGTGTGTCATGACTATGCTTCAGGCTACCACTATGGAGTCTGGTCGTGTGAGGGGTGTAAGGCCTTCTTCAAGAGGAGCATCCAAGGTGAGACAAAACATACATACGGTTCGAACAATTGCTTGAAATCTTTGAAAATACTTGAATTTTAATACACTTTTCAAGGTTTGAAAAGTGCTTGAATTTCAAATGTGGTGCTTAAAAGTGCGTGAAACTGTATTTCATTCACAACAAATAACTGTCTGACCGAATGGTTTTCTTATCAGATCGAGAAATAAAATGAGTCGCAAAGTTGAAAAGCAAATTTTCTCAGTTGGATGCCTGTTTATTTAAGGGAGATGAATAATACATTCTAATTGTACCTAATAATATCACAGATGATAAATTAAATAAATAGATTTTAAGTAGATGCTTGTGCATTCTGAAAGTTGAACTGAGTATGTCATCTGTTTAAAGCCTCTCCCAGTCAGTGCTGCTCTCCATGCCTGTCTCGTACATGGTGTTATTAGCACAAACACTTTAAAGGTGATAATTCATGACTTTAACAATAATTCAGACAGCAATGTTATTAAACAACTTACAGTTGGTTTTATTGGGAATTAACTTTTAACCTGTTAGGCCCCCAGGGGCTTTCTGCTTGAAAATGAAATGACCAAAATAAATGGAGTATTTCTCTGCAATTACAAAGTCTGTGTAAACAATCTTGGTATGAAAATAAAGCTAACACTTGTGAGACGTCATCAGAGGTGTAAATATTACTGCAGATTGATTGGTAGAGCAGATGTTCATGCACTACTTAAAACTGTGTCACTGTTGCAAAGTCCTGATTGCTTCTCTCAAATCTAAAGATGTGCAACTTTGCTCTTGTTGGTTGGTGTTTCACACCACTTCTGTTTTATTTTGTACTTTATCTAAGTGTCTTTTTTGTGCTTTTCTGCGCTTTTCTTCACCAGTTTCATATTAATGTCGACGTAACTCCTTTGGCCGTACCCATCCAAATGTTATGTTTATGCCTTGCTGACTTATTAGTAAAGAATAAACTAATAAGTCCTCTAGGATATAACCTTACACCCTAGATCTTGGTGGATTTTGGATGCTCCTGTTTTAATAGTTGGTAGCGCTGACACTGAGTCACTACAGCGCACTTTCTGTGCAGTATTAGCAAGTCTGCGCAGAGCTCCACACGCGTAAATGATCTGATGTCCTCCTGCTGACCTTTGTCTGATGGCTTTGACTCATCCCTGCTGGACCTCGTGGCTCAGTTAGTGGATGTTTTGTGGATAGTGGTCACTATAATTCCCATCTTTATATCTATTATATTAGTACTAGTTCTGCTCTTTTATTCCCATGCTTAATAAACGTGGAATATTATCAACTTTAAGTACAAATTTGTGACATCCACACTGTTCTCACACAGGCCACAAAACAGCTGGACAAAGAGCAGTTTCCCTGACTTTCATGTGTTTTGTGATGGTTTTATCTACCCATCCAAAACATCATTTCCCCAAACAGCCTTCTTTGGCTCATAGCTGTGTCCTACATGGTATAATTGCTCCCATCTCTATTTGGGGGAGACACGCTGGAGCTATTATCACTTCAGTACGAAGCTTTTCTGGTTGTCACCTGGAGGATTCTACTGATGCTTATCAGGGAAAACTTTGTGCACTTAAACGTCCAGTTTCCCAGAGCTTTTTATACTCGCTGCCTGACAGATTGCCTAGTCAGAGGCTTGCCTGGAACAAATCCACATTCTGTGGTGTCAAGTCATTAACTTCCCATTATAATCAAAATTTATTTCATAATGATAATTTGAAGCTAAAACTTGTATGTTGTCAATTTAAGCTTTATTTTACAGGTGTTATGACATAATCTTGTATTACACAACACTTTGAGCTTTTGAACAAATATATTCAAAACTAGACCATTTAACCATTGCTATACATTAAGGCAAACCAGTATGCGTATATCATGCTAAACTGAATTTAGATGGTAATTTTGGATCACAGTTGACATTTTTCTGAAAATACCACTGTTCAAACAATATGTCTGCCTATGCAAATTAAGTCTTTGAGCAAAATGGCCAGGGTACGGAGAGAGGACTTGAACTGACCACAAAGGACTGCTTGTCATCAATGATTTTTGCTGGAAGCTGCACAAGCTGGAAATTCTCAGTCTGCCTGTCTGTTGTGCAGGGATGCAACTTTGCATTGTATTTTTCTTCATACAACTCATTTTTCATTTTTTTCTATCCAACTTTTTATTTTTGTCTCAATGTCTGTCTCTTTGTGTCTTTTTGTTTTAGGACACAATGACTATATCTGCCCGGCAACCAATCAGTGCACTATTGACAAGAACCGCCGCAAGAGCTGCCAGGCATGTCGCCTTCGCAAATGCTATGAAGTTGGCATGACCAAATGTGGTTAGTATGATTATATGTATACATTGTTTCATATTTCTGAAATATGGCTGGGTGGCTGTAGCTCAGGTGGCAGAGCAGGTCAGCCACTAATCAGAAGGTCGGTGGTTCGATCCCAGGCTGCCTCCTGGCTGCATGCCAAATATCCTTGGGCAAGATACTAACCCCATGTTTGCCTACTGGTGGTGGTCAGAGGGCCACGAGGCGCCAGTGTCCGGCAGCCTCGCCTCTGTCAGTGCGCCCCAGGGCAGCTGTGGCTACAACGTAGCTTGCCATTACCAGTGTGTGAATGCGTGTGTGAATGGGTGAATGACTGAATGTAGTGTGAAGCGCTTTGGGGTCCTTAGGGACTGAGTAAAGCGCTATATAAATGCAGGCCATTTACCATAGTTCTGATAGAAGTTTTTGCATTTTGTTTTTCTGAATCCAGCCAACAGTAACTTGATGTTCTGATTATTACCTAAACAACTTGGTCATGTGATGATGTTTGGTTTATTTTATCTAAAATTTGAATGATGTGATTACTAATTATACAGTATTGATATTATACATATGCTTGAATATATTTTTCTAATGTTCTTGTTTACTTGTAAGATCAGTTTATTTCTATTTTTTTCTGTAGAATCGTACAACAACATGACAGAACTATGTTTCATTATAGGCAAGAGCACGAACAATATATGTTTTAATATTCCATAATATTTTAGTATTTGTTTGCCTATTAATTCACATTTCATTAAAGAAGTCTTCATTCCTGCATTTGATCTGCTCTTGTAGTGTTTTGGTTAAAACGTGAAGTTTTAATTATGGGTATCCCTGCAATGATGCAGGGATATCTGGATAGAAATAAAGTTTAATCCAAATGTTGTTCTTTATGGTTCCAGCGCTTTTACTTTAGTTTTTTTTCTACATATGAGAAATGTGATCTGGCTCTAAAAGCCACCAGTGGCTCTATTAATCATTTCCACACAAAACAAATCTTTTCAACATCTGTTTGCAGTAAATAGGATTCCCATACCCTAAATTTGGATTTCAGTTTATTCCGACATTTTGTTTTCCAAGTAGGAACTACATGGTGCCAGATCTTGTAGCCTGTTCAGTGATTTCTGTCTGTAACTGATGGACTTGCTGCTTGCCATTTTTGCTTTACCCTTCTTAACCCCCCAAAATTGCAATCTTATATAGAAAACAACAGCAAAATTTAACAGATATGGACAGTCTGGAACATGGGTTAAAATTGGCTATAATTTAATGCTTGCCTTGTTACTCACAGGTATTCGAAAGGAGCGTGGAAACTACAGGAATTCGCAGGCAAGGCGGCTAACCCGTCAATCCTCACAGTACATAACAGCTGAACCAAAGGGCATAACTGGACCAGCTGAAGGTTCATTAAATGAGCCCGAAAAACCTGCACTGACCCCAGAGCAGCTAATTGAGCGGATATTGGAGGCGGAGCCGCCAGATATCTACCTCATGAAGGACGCGAAGAGGCCGCTGACCGAAGCAAGCATCATGATGTTGCTCACCAACCTGGCAGATAAAGAGCTGGTTCACATGATTAGCTGGGCCAAGAAGATTCCAGGTGTTTGTTTTTGTGATATTTCAAAAAAAAAGAAATTAGATGAATTTATATAATTAAAATTTTTTTTTTATCTTCTTCAGGTTATTCAGGTCAACAAAAAATCTAAATGAATGTGGAGAATCAGACCTTCCATTTTCATTGGTCAATCAGAAGAAAATGTATGTGCAGTGTCCCCATTCAAATCTAATAAAACAAAACGGGTCCAAAAATAGGGTATCACTTTACCAGCAGATTTTCTCCGACTGTGCATGTGCAAAGTTACATAGCAATGTGGCAATACCACTTAATTAATGGTTCGAGCCAGAGTGCTGACACAAATAAGTGTTTTGCCAATAGAGCAATTCATGTCATGAATAAATAAAGTGTCTGATGAAGAAAATATACACTTCTTTTTGTAATTTTTAGGCGACATCAATGTGATTGATTGTGTATTCAACCAAATCCCAAAGATGTTCTGTTGGTTTAAGATCTGGTGACTGAGGAGGCCATATGAGTACAGTGAGGTCATCGTCATGATCAAGAAACCAGTTTGAGCTTTGTGATGGCGTGTTTGCCTGCTGCAAGCAGCCATGAGATGACGTTATAGTTAGTACATTATAGTTTCAGTTATGAAGGAATATAAATGGTCAGCCACAAGACTTGGGTAGGTGGTGGCATTTAAACAGTGCTCAGTTGGTACTAAGAAGCCCAAACTTGTACCATTACACCAACCTGAACCTTTGATAGAAGGCAGCATGGATCTGTACGTTCTTGTTGTTTACACCAAATTCTGGCTCTAGCATCTAAAGTTTTGACCAGGAAAAGTTTTTCCAGTCTTTTCTTGTCCGTTATCTTGTGTGAACTTTAATCTTGGCCTCGTGTTTTTAGCTGACAAGAGTGGAACACAGTGAGCTGCTGTAGTCCATCTGCTTCAGAGACATATTGCGGATTCAGAGATGCTCTTTTTACATATCTTGATTGTAACATGTGTGATTTTAACAGTTGCTGCTGACTTCTTTTCAGATCACAATGTATTTTCTCTCTTTCAGACTATTTAGACTAGACTAGTGTGGCACCAACAACCATGCCATGTTCAATCACTTACATAACCTTTTTTTCCCCCATTCTGATTTTTGGTTTGAACTCTCGCATGTTGACTTCTATACTTTCTTAAAAGCACTGAGTTGCTTCCATTTGAAAGCTGATAAGAGTCAATATTTGCACTTGACAAAAGAGCTGGTGAGTATATAGCACAACACACACAGTAACAAAGTTGCCATCATTAATCGTTAGTTCTCATTTACAACATTTTGATTAGTTGAATCTTGTATTAGATGAAAGCTTTTCTATATAAAACAAGGGCATTTCAAAGTGCTCCTGAAACAGCTGTTATTACGTCTAGTTTTCATGTTTGCTTGAGTTGAGAAATGCAATTGGTTTGAGATTATACAAAGAGTCTTTCTACAACATCAGTAAAAATTGCTTTAATGATAACAGATCTAGGTATTTTATTCTTCTCGCTGAGCAGTTCACTGTCTCAAGACAGCTAATGATGTGTTTGTGGCTTGGCACAGTCATTTGTGTCTGCTTTATTTAGCGTTTGAGCCTGTAAAACACAGCAGCAGTGATGGAACTGGAGTCTGGCAGTGAGCTGTGAAATAACAATGTATCACAAAGGGTGGATTTCTGTAGCCTTGTTAATGAATTCTGACTGCTTGTGGTGAATTTAACAAATTTAAGCCTGAAAAAGTGAAATAAATCATTATAGCAAAGAACCATTTAATTTCAAGCGTGAATTTCAAAGTGAATTGTCTGAATGCTCATTGTTGTCGTAGCCTGAGTCAGCAGCACAGGCCATACAAGTCTGTGGCACTGAGCACTTTATTGGGAATGCGTGTTCATATGTATGCACAAATGATCATATTGAACGTGAGAGTAGCAGTACAATAATCTTTGTGTAATTTTGATTCTGACATGATTGTTGGTGCAAGTCGATTTAGTTTACTTGGCGTTTTGCAAAAAGTAATTTAAAGAGTGACAGATCTTGTCAAAGCTCACAGAAAGCTTACGGTAACTTCACACCATCAGAAGACAACTTTCCTTCGCTAGGTGATCACATTGGTGGTCACCCAGTGGGAGGGAACCTCCATCTATCCATCCATTTTCTACCTCTTATCTGAGGCAGGGTCGCAGGGGCAGCAGCCTAAGCAGATGAGCCCTGACCTTCCTCCCTGGGCACCTCCTCCAGCGTTTTCTGGGGGAACACAAAGGCAGCATTCCCAGGCCAGTTGAGAGATCTAATTTCTTCAGCGTATCCCAGGTCCAGGAATGTCCCACCTTCTCCTGGTGGGACATGCCTGGAACGCCTCAACCAGGAGGAACCCAGGAAGTGTCCTTGTCAGATGCCTGAAACACCTCCGCTGGCTCCTTTTGATGTGGAGGAGTAGCAACTCTACTCTGAGCCCCTCCTGGATCGGTAATTAGTGACAAAGGGCAGCCCTGGCACTGTTTGTCCATCGGGAAAAACTCCAGTGTACAGGCAACAAGCCGAGGGGATACTAAGATACCGACCCCAACCCACCGCCTTTCAGCAAGGGCTACTCCAGACTAAGACACAGTCAAGGCCTGTCTCGGGGACACTGGTTCCTGTTTTTTGGGTCTTTTTCATTTATCTAACTCTTAGTAAATTGTGAGGTGCCTCGTAATCCGTACTTGTTATTATGTTTTTTAACCTGTTTGCTGAGACGGTGCCGTGTTTTTGTTTTACCTTGTTGGTTTGTTAATCAGTATCAAGTCTCACATTGCTTAATGGCACTGCCTGTAAAAAGGTGGTCTTTTTAGGGGTTTTGCTTGTTTTAGGTTTTATTTTATTGTTTTTTATTTATTTATTTATTTTTTGGTTTGGATATTTTTAGGTCAGCATTCTGTTTTTGCATTTACAGACAAGGAGATGGAAAAAATTGCTTCCAACCAAGTTGTTTACCTCCTGTTTCTCTTCATGCTGCTGCCTAGTTGCTCATTAGACTCGTTATTCAGGTTTCTGTGATATGCTTCATCTGCTCACAGCTATGTATTTTATGATTACATCCTTTTCTCAGGGTTTGTGGAGCTTAGTCTCGTAGACCAGGTCCATCTGTTGGAGTCCTGCTGGCTGGAGGTGTTGATGATTGGACTGATGTGGAGGTCAGTGGACCATCCAGGAAAACTCATCTTCTGCCCTGACCTCAGCCTGAGCAGGTACCACCTCCTAAACCTTGTTTCACTCGCCTGATTAGAGGCACTTGCTTCTAAAAAGAGTTATTAGTGGTTCCCAGTGTACTTACACACAATATCTTATGATAATACACCAAACCTCTGTATGTTTGTTTCTGTGTCTGTCAACTCCTCCTAGACCATCAGGGCTTGAGCAACCAAATCTGGCTCCTAAAGGTTCTTAGCTACATCGCATATTACGATGGCAACATGTTGCCTGGCAACCACCTAGCAATAGGCTACAACAACCCGTTTTTAGCATTTAAGAACCTAAAACACCTATTCTGGGTTTTTTTGGTGATCTTTTCTGCCAGCTGAGAGACATCACTAATGTTACTCTCCTTCCTCTTGTGTAAAGTGCTTCAGAGTTAAAACAGCAGATCATCTTTTACTTCTTGGTGGGAGTTACATCTGTGTTATGTCTGGCTAATTTGTGGAGGTAAAAATCAAGAGTGTGATGCAATTAAATAACATTTTTGTCTTTTTAGAGAAGAAGGAAACTGCGTCCAGGGCTTTGTGGAGATCTTTGACATGCTGATAGCTGCCACAACCAGGGTGAGAGAGCTCAGGCTGCAGAGGGAGGAGTACGTCTGCCTCAAGGTCATGATCCTCCTCAACTCCAGTGAGTGAGCATGTTTGTGTGGGCGGACATGAGGTCCACTCTCAGTGTCATGTGCTTAATGTGCATGTGCGTAAGTGAGACTGAGACTGTTTGTTTGTCTCCAGAACATGAACCCACAATGGGGTGTTAGATTGGTATCTCAGCATGTAATCTTGTGAGCCTACACATGGTAAGTATGTCCATAAACCAAATAACTAGCAGTGAAGACTGCTAGTTATTTGAAACTACACAGTGTTCCCTGTTGGGAACACTGTGTAGTTTCAGTCTGTGCTATGAGGACTCAGAGGTTCTGCTAAAGTAGCTGGAGTAGCAGGTGGTACATAAGTGAAGATGAACACGGTCAAGGCCTCTCTGGTGAGATCATTAATGTTTTCTTTTTAATTGCCTCCACAAGCGAAGTCAGACTTTTGTCTGACTTTGCCGACTACAGAGCTGTTTCACCTTCAGCCCCAGAATATAAAAAATCAAAAACGAATGTTATTAAAAGTTTGTTTTTATTAAATCAGAGCTGACTAAAATGGCCAAGACTACAGAATATGGTTTAGATTCAAGTAAGAGCATTTACTGTCACATAGAAGAAAACCACATGATTCCTTGTGGGACCTAGTCACCCTAAATACATTTAAGATGATCAGATCCCAACAAACTAAATGTGAGGCATGGTGTGTTTTTGTGTAAGAAGTACTCTTAAAGTGTCTTTGAAATGGATCTATCTAGCATTCTTGGACTTGGACACTTAGCAAAAAGCACACTCATGCAATATGAGAATGTAATCAGTGTGAAAGTGTGATTTTTATTTATTTTTATTTGTTTAGGGCACTCAAGCCTCACGTTAGCTGGGATAATGTTAGCCTTTAACCAGCTGCTGTTGTTTAGCTGGCTTGTTGTCAGGATAGATGCATGTCTAATCTGTTGACTGTAAGTAATTGTGACAATATCAGGAATAAAAGAGCATGTTTATGCACGTTTTTGTGTTTTAGCACCCTGACTTTAGTTCAGGAGATGAGGCTTGAGGTGAGTAGGAAGAGGATTAGGTGACAGAGGAGAGAGAGCAGTGATGGAGGAAGAGACATGATAAGAACAAAATGATGAAAAATGTATTTAAATGTTTAGTGTTCACATATAGTTTAAAAAGAACTATTTGTGACCTTTAAAATGAACTTATAATGCATGCTATGTATGTGTCCACTCATTCATTTTATTTGTTTTTTTTTGGGGGGGGGGGAGTTGGTAGTTGTGCATCCGTACAAGAGCACGCTGCTTTTGGAGCTCAACATTTGTTTTGTAAAAGGAATGAGTAGGTGTTTGCAAACTATATTAAAGGCATTATGTTAAGTTGTTATTAAGAAGTTCAACGTCTGGCATAGTTTAAAAGGAAAAAAAGGAGTTTACTTGATTAGTCAGTGGTTTGGGAGAGCAACCAGTTAAACCACCCACCGCACCACTAAGAAACACCTGTGGGTACTGTCGCGTTTTTTGTATGCAGTAAAACTAAGGTGTGTCATCCAGATCTTTGCACTGTACACTCAGAATACACACACACACACACACACACAGAAAATGATCAACAAATGCATGGAGTTGAAGATCATACTACTTTATTTAGTCAATTTAAAGCCAGTCCCTTTGACATCTGCTAATTCAATAGCATGAAAGCCCCAGACCAGAGCCCCTGTGTTACTTACTAACTCTCAAACAGTGGAAAACCCCATGGTGATGTTTTGTGAATAATCTTTTTGTAGCAGTGGAAAAAACTAAAACCGAAGTAGCTCAGAATGTTCCAAAAACAGATTTAAAGTTCTGCTGCCAGAGATAAAAAGCAGAGAGATTCTAACCAAGCAAATGTTTAGACGAGATTTTAATGACCCTCAAAATGAAAACTACTCCTTAAAGACGGAGACAGGGCAGTCCAGTGTGTACAGACAAGGCACCATCTGTGAGACACTGTTCTGTACTCTACAAATATTTGAGCAAACTGTATGTTCGATGCTTTGGCAGGATGTTTCTAAATGTTTGAGCATGTCAGCCCTTTTCAAACTGTATTTGCAAGCACAACAAGTGTTTATTTAGTGTTGAACAAAACACGGGGATTTTTCAGACTTCTGCTACCAGAAAGTTTCACAGTAGGAAAAGGGGTGCAAAATCAAATCAGTTTTTTTCCCCTGGCTCATAATGCACCTCTGGGCGCAGACTACATGCGTAAGCACCTTTTGATCCGTTTATAGTTGAAGCAAAGAGTCGATGTTACCTTACCAGAAGTCTTTTGCTTCTGTCCTTTGTTTTTTATGCCAAAGTAAATAAAAAAAACACTTGAAAAATATTTGTATTTATAACACCTGGTTACAATCCTTTGAGAGAAGGCCAGTGGTTATTTTCGGGGGTGTTAAATCTTTTGTATGCATTTTAAATAAATTGTGGATAAATTCCATTTAGCTGGTTCAGTCTGATGTTACCGGTGGTGTTGCACACGCTGGTTCTCTGGGTCATCTGTCCTTTTCCTGCTGTGACCGAATCAAGATGTCTGCATGAAAAATCCAGTTATGTTTTTGCACAGTTTACAAAGGTTAATGCACTTCAAAATGTTTTATTTACTTTAGCTTCCAACATTAAACTCCTATATTGATATCTGTAATATAGTCTTTACTGTGTAGACACACTTAAAGTGTATTTCTTCCCATTTGCTTTCCAGACATGTGCCTCATTTCCTCAGACGGCAGCGAGGACCTGCAGAGCCGGTCCAAGCTGCTGCGCCTCCTGGACGCTGTGACAGAAGCTCTGGTGTTGGCCATCAGCAAAACCGGTCTCACCTTCCAGCAGCAGTACACCCGCCTGGCTCACCTGCTCATGCTGCTTTCACATATCCGTCATGTCAGGTAACAGGACCCAACATCATGCTATTAAAACCTGGATATTTTTAAAAAAGGGAGACAGATCTGTAAATGAATTTATTTTACAGCTCAGATTTATTCAAAGCCCTGCAGTGTTATGAAACACATTCATCTGACCAGATTGTTCCCATCAAAAGTCATTATGTTAACCTCTCGCCCAACTTTGTTTTCAATGTGCAGTAACAAAGGCATGGACCACCTCCACTGCATGAAAGTGAAGAACATAGTGCCTCTCTACGACCTGTTGCTGGAGATGTTGGATGCCCACATCATGCACAGCTCTCGTCTGCCTCCTCAGCCTCCTCAGCAGGAGGAAGATCAGAGTGAGGCTCCTGCCCGGCTGCACAGCTCTGCAAGCGGACCTTCAAATACCTGGACTCCCAGTAGCGCTAGAGCTGGAGGTGAACCCCAGTAGTCAGATCAGAATTCCGATGCGAAAGAATTTTCACTGCTTTGCACAAAACTAGTTCACGGGAATGATGAGTATCTTCACAGGAATGAGAGCTGGATTCTCTGATCTGTCACTGGTGAATCTTTGACACGCTGCGCACAGTTTCTGGTGAACTTTCAATCTCTTCAAAGTTAACCGCATGGAGCACAGATCACGCTTTCAGGATTCTTTGCTTTTCCACTATATTGGCAAAAGACTAAAGCGAAACAGGAACAAACTGTCAAACCTGGTCACTCAGCTGTACTCAGATATGTGACAGGACCATTAAATCAGTCAGTCGACCAATGAAAACCCATGCAGAAAAACGGATCACAGCTGATTTGATCACACCTCCCAATGACAGTATGTCTTTTTAAACTGATTAATCAGAGCCTGTACAGTTTGCTGGAACAAGCAGCTTATGTGTAACTGATTCCCAAAAACAAGCACCTGCAGAAAACTCACACTTTAACTCTGAGTTAAAGAAATCTTATACTGTGAAACTTACAGTGCTCACTGGCGTGTTTTCTTCAACAAAGCTCAGTTTGTGTTTCGACTTTGTGTGTGTGGATGTTTTAATGCTTAAGTGGCTTTTCTATACACATGGACTTTAATGTCGAGGCTGCAACAAAAGACTGTTGTTACTGATTATTGCTGATTACTTAATCAGTTTATTGTTGGGTCTATGCACTAAAACACTTATGATTTCCCCACAGACCAGGGCCACGGCTTCATCTGCTAAGTTTTGTCCATCCCACAGTTGCAAATGAAAATTTATTTAGTCGATGAATTTCAAAAATCCATTGATTTTTATTCTTATATTTATTTTGAAGATGGAGATGCATGAATAATAATAAAAATGCTGTTTGTTACGGTGGCCCCTAGAGACAAAGCATGTATAAACTCCAAAACACTTACAAATTCCAAATAGCACGCACAAACTCCTCAACACGTACAAAATCCAAAACACATGCAAACTCCAAAACACGTACAAAATCCAAAACACGTACAAAATCAAAGACACGTGCAAACACCGAGACGGGTACAAAATACAAAACAGGTACAAAATACAAAACACACGCAAAATACAAAACACGTGCAAACACCAAGACAGGTACAAAATCCAAAACATCTACAAAATCCAAAACATCTGCAAACTCCAAAACACGTGCAAAATCCAAAACACGTGCAAAATCCAAAACACGTACAAAATCCAAAACACGTACAAAATCCAAAACACATGCAAACTCCAAAACACGTACAAACTCCAAAACACGTGCAAACTCCAAAACACGTGCAAAATCCAAAACACGTGCAAACTCCAAAACACGTGCAAA